CACCAAGTCTCTCCGTAATCGTCCAATCGTAATTGTCGACGATTATGGAGACGTGGCGACGTCACCTCCGGCGTAGGTGCCATTTTGGTACACCCAGAGAGTACACCAGCATTTCACACATGAGGCTCTGTAAACTTGTTTTTATCAATGGAAATGTGACTGAGCAATTTGCTGGTTTATGACATTTAAAAGAAACATAGAGTATTACACTATGGGAGGATTTATTTTCTTCTTTCCAATATATATGTGAGTTGGCTGATTTTATCATCCTGCCTAAAAGAAGTTTGGATATCAGGATTGGTCATACCTATTGTTCCATAAGGGGGATACCAGCACTACTGCTAAACTGGATTAGTTTATGCTGATTGGCTGTATTGCTGTATCTTATATTGTAGAGGCTTATTGGCCCTTTGGGGTCACTGCATCAAGGTGAGGGGGCAATCCAGCCGGTGACGGATCACATTTTTTTCACCTATATCATCTGTTTTACCGTGGAATTTTTTTCACTTATTTCAGGATTACACATGGGGCACATTTGTTGCTCATTATTATTATACTATTTAGTGGCACAATATTTGCGGCATTACGTGGCTAGTGGGGGTGTTTTATGGTTTTTATTATTTTGCAGCACATTGTGATATATCGTTGTAACCCTTTTTATGTGTTTGTGTTCACACAAATAAGTCCCAATTAGGGATTTCATCACGAGTCATATATTGTTTTTTTTGGTCACATTTTGTTACACATTTATGTGTAAGGACTTTGTGCAGTCCAAAAGTTTTTTTATCCTGACAGTCTCACTGTATATTATTCACGTCAGTTTTGAGTCTTCTGGCCACGGAACTTTTTCAGGCATATTTTATGCCATTTACTTATCACTTTGTTTATTTGTGATTTATGATACTTTTTTCCCCCTGTTTAAGGGATGCGTGTACATTGTCTCACCATTTTCGTCAGTGTGTGATGTTTATTTCTCATTCACACATTTATATAATTTTTTGCATATTATCACATGATATTGTCCTTTTTGATGTGTATATTTCTTTTTGTTAGAATTTATTTGAGTTTTATGCACAAATTATGGTATTTAAGTGTATTTAGGTACTGTGTATGGAAGCGCAACACCATGTTCTTTTTTATGAATACAAATGCACCACCACACTTTTCAGATATTTATTTGAAAAAAATTTTGAAAACGATTTAGCATTTTCCTTCCACTTCACAATTATGTGACACTTTGTGTTGCTCTATCACATAAAATCCCAATAAAATACATTTACGTTTTTGGTTGTAACATGACAAATTTCAAGGGATATGCATACTTTTTCATGGCACTCTATATGCATTTTTAATGATACATTTTTAATTGCGTAGGTGTTTTGTGGGCACATTGATTTAAATGGATTCCTTAACTTTTTTTTAGTTTATAATATAATAGTGTTATAATCTACCTCACTCTACATCTCTTCTTCTATCTTTTCATCTCTCTGACTTCTCTTTATCCCACATTTTTTGTACGCCTTCATCACTCATATATTCCCAACAAAATATAGCATTTAAGCTCTCATACATGTGTGACTAATTTCACGCGGATCACACGCTCCCGAAATGTGCACACAAATCATAACGCACATATCATCATGTGCTATTCTTTCCCAGCACTCCACATTCCCTCAACATAAGGGCTCACAAATAGATAGGTCAGTAATTAATATACCTATAATGATTTATCCATTACACTCTTTGTATCTGCTGGTTTGCTATACACCTTTGATATAAAGATATACCTCATCTCGATTTCTACTACAATTCAAACCCATAACCCATCTGCGAAACAGGATGCTACATATTGTGTCTATGTTCGGTCTGTAATCTATATTTGTATGTACAGTTGCAAGAAAAAGTATGTGAACCCCTTGGTATTATGTGGAGTTTTGCATGAATTGGGCAGAAAATGTGCTCTGAACGTCATCTAAGCCACAACAATAGAAGAACACAGTCTGCTGAACATAATACTACACAAACATTAGATGTTGCCATGGTTTAATTGCACATAACATGTAAACATTCACAGTGCAGGGAGGAAAAAGTATGTGAGGCCCTAGCTTAATGACTTCTCCCAGAGCTAATTGGAGCCAGGAGTGAGCCAACCTTGACTCCAATCAGTGTGATGATATTGGATGTGTTGCTGACAGCTGTCCTGCCCTTAAAAAACATACACCTGTTTTGGGTTTACTGGTTTCAAGAAGCACTGTCTGATGTGAACCATGCCTCGCAGAAAAGAGCTCTCAGAAGACCTACGATCAAGAATTGTTGACTTGCATGAAGCTGGAAAGGGTTACAAAAGTATCTCCAAAAGCCTTGATGTTCATGTGTCCACGGTAAGACAGACTGTCTACAAATGGAGAAAGTTAACACTGTTGCTACTCTCCCTAGGCGTGGTCGTCCTGTAAAAATGACTGCAAGAGAACAGCGCAGAATGCTGCAGGAGGTAAAGAAGAATCCCAGAGTGTCAGCTAAAGACCTACAGAAATCTCTGGCACATGCTAACATTTTTGTTGACACATCTACAATAAGGAAAACATTAAACAAGAATGGAGTACATGGGAGGACACCACGGAGGAAGCCATTGTTGTCCAAAATGAATATGGCAGCATGTTTGAAGTTTGCAAAAGAGCACCTGGATGTTCCACAGCACTACTGGCAAAATATACTGTGGACAGATGAAACCAAGATTGAGTTGTTTGGGAAGAACACACAACACTATGTGTGGAGAAAAAAAGGCACAGCACACCAACATCAAAACCTCATCCCCTCTGTAAAACATGGCGGAGGGAGCATCATGGTTTGGGGCTGCTTTGCTGCCTCAGGGCCTGGACGGATTGTTGTCATTGATGGGAAAATTAATTCCTGTCAGGAATGGACTGGCCAGCAATGGTGGGACTCACCTGCCTTTTGATCTGCAGTACCAGGGCTGGCCAGCGGGTGCTCCCAGCAATCAGAGACTCAACCTTTCAGCCAGCTAACACCTGGAACTGATGATACTGGTGTATTTAAGGGGATGGCCAGACTTGCAGACTCTGCCTTGGTGTTGTGTTTGTCCTGGGCCCTGTATCTGTCCTGCATCCTGTTTCTGTTCCTTTGCTGACCCTGCCTGATCTGAACCGCTGCTGACTTCTCCTGCTCTGATCCCGGCTCGCTCCTGACCATCCCTCTGCCTGACCCTCTGTACCACGCTGCTTGCTACCTGTTCTGATCCCTGGCTTGTGACCCTGACCATCCCTCTGCCTGACCCTCTGTACTACGCTGCTAGCTACCTGCTGAACCTGGCCTGTGACCCCGACCCATCTCCGCTTGCTCCCCCTGTACCTACCTGCCCTATTGATATTGACCCGGCCTGCCTGACGACGCTTGCTTGTATGTACTGTTATCTGTGGGTGGTTGGTTTGGTTTGTTTGCACTGTATTATGTTTTAGTATTGCACTGCGTTTATGTTTGTATGGTTAGTGTTAATAAATTATATTGTTTATCACATATCTGAAGTCTGCGTTTCCCTGCGTCAGTCACACACCTCTGGTCACACCTGGGAGCCCTGACATTACACCAAGGCCAATCCTGACCAGAAGTGGCTGCACAGGGAAGCCATCTTGGCTTGTTGCTGGGAAGGATGGATCTGGATGAGGTTGAATATTTATCTCTGCTAGTGCTTGATGACAGAAAAAATATGCTTATCAGACTCTGAAGGAGTATCCCGGGATGAACTGCTAGAATGTATACGGCTCGCTCATGTTCTAGTAGATCAGGGCACAGATTTCTCTATGGTGCAGCCATTGATTAAGGTTTGTGGTTGAGTTGGTTTCATCTGGTTTCCCCGAATGCAGGGATGAATTTTTGCCACCATTTAGTGCAGACCAGGTAGAGTCCCTGGTGTGGTTATTAGAGGATGATGTGGGTTACTTTCTGGAGCGTTATTCCACATGTTCACCACAGATACTAAGAGATTGTATAAACGCAGTGCAGTCTTTGGTCAGACAGGCTTTGTGTAAGCTCAGCTTTGTTCAACCCCTACTGCAGACATGGACAGACTTGTTGCACCCAGCCTCAGTCAGCTTACAAAGACCCAGTCCTGCTTCTAATCTATTTCCTCAAAGCTCTACTCCTGTATTCCCAACAACTCCCCCAGTTACAGCCCAGTATACTTGGCTATCTACCGCATGTCAGTACCCTGTTCCCACTCGCTGCACCTATCCTGCCTTTAACCCTCTAAAAAAAGCCCTCTGTAGCAACTGCTCCCTCTCCTGTTCCATCCTCCAGTTCTTCTCTGTCTCCAGCTGCTCCATTCGTTTGCAGACCTGCGTTTACTTGCAGTGCTCCAGTAGTTAAAACCAGAAAAAAGCGAAAATTCTTTCCAACCAATACCATCCTGCCAGTATCCAAACCGGTGAACCTGCCTTCCGTGGTTCAGCCTGAATCCTCTACTCAGCCTGAAGCCTCTACTCAGCCTGATGCCTGTACTCAGCCTGATGCCTGTACGCAGCCTGATGCCTCTACTCGGCCTGATGCCTGTACGCCTGCCTGATGCCTCTCTTCTGCCTGAAGCCTCTACTCGGCCCGATGCCTCTACTCGGCCCGAAGCCTCTACTCGGCCCGAAGCCTCTACTCGGCCCGATGCCTCTACTCGGCCCGATGCCTCTACTCGGCCCGATGCCTCTACTCGGCCTGATGCCTCTACTCGGCCTGAAGCCTCTACTCAGCCTGAAGCCTCTACTCAGCCTGAAGCCTCTACTCAGCCTGAAGCTCTACTACTCAGCCTGAAGCCTCTACTCAGCCGGACCGCCGGCATTTCAGCCTGATGCCTCTACCCAGCATGATGAACTGATCCAGCCTGACGATCCTATTAGGCCAGTTGACTCGATGCCCGCTGTTGATCCAGATGATCCGGTACCTGATCCGGTGCCCGCTATCGTGCCAATTGACCCAGTGCCCGCGGTCATACCAGTTGACTCGGAGCCCACTGCCTTGCCAGATGACGCGGTGCTTGCTGTCGAGCCAAATGACCTGATGCCTGGTGACCCAGTGCCCGCTGTCATACCTGGTGACCCGATGCCCGCTGTCGAGCCAGACAATCCGGTACCTGATGACCCGGTGCCCACTGTCGTGCCTGTTGACTCGGAGCCCACTGCCTTGCCAGATGACGCGGTGCTCGCTGTCGAGCCAAATGACTTGATGCCTGGTGACCCGATGCCCGCTGTCCAGTCAGACGATCCAATGTCTGACCCAGTGCCCGCGGTCATACCAGTTGACTCGGAGCCCACTGCCTTGCCAGATGACGCGGTGCCCGCTGTCGAGCCAAATGACCTGATGCCTGGTGACCCGTGCCCGCTGTCCAGCCAGACGATCCAATGTCTGACCCAGTGCCCGCCCACTGTCCTGCCAGTTGACTCGGAGCCCACTGTCGTGCCTGGTGACTCGGTGCCCGCCGCTTCGAGCCAAATGCCTGGGGCCCGGTGACCTGTCGCCCCGCTGTCCTGGGGTCCGATTCCCGCCCAGTGCCCCTGGGGGTCCGGCCGCCCCCCTGCCTGGGGGCCCGAGCCCTGTGGGCCTGAGGGCCCGAGACCTGTCGCTCCGCCTGGGGGTGACCGGCGCCCGCTGTCCCCAGACGCCCGACCCAGACCCCGCCTGCCCACCTGGGGGTCCGGCGCGACCTGCCGCTCCGCCCTGAGGGCCCGAGACCCGTCGCTCCGCCTGGGGGTCCGGCGCCCGCCGCCGCCGCCTGAGGCCCGAGACCCGTCGCTCCGCCTGGGGGTCCGGCGCCCGCCGCTCCGCCTGAGGGCCCGAGACCTGTCGCTCCACCTGGGGGTCCGGCGCCCGCCGCTCCGCCTGAGGGCCCGAGACCCGTCGCTCCACCTGGGGGTCCGGCGCCCGCCGCTCCGCCTGAGGGCCCGAGACCCGTCGCTCCACCTGGGGGTCCGGCGCCCGCCGCTCCGCCTGAGGGCCCGAGACCCGTCGCTCCACCTGGGGGTCCGGCGCCCGCCGCTCCGCCTGAGGGCCCGAGACCTGTCGCTCCACCTGGGGGTCCGGCGCCCGCCCGCTCGCGCCTGGGGGCCCGAGCCCTGTCGCTCCACCTGGGGGTCCGCCCGCCTGGGGTCCGGCGCCGCCGCTCCGCCTGAGGGCCCGAAGACCTGTCGCTCCCGCCTGGGGGTCCGGCGCCCGCCGCCCGCCTGGGGGCCCGATGCCTGTCGCCCCCGCCTGGGGGTCCGGCGCCCGCCACCCCCGCCTGGGGGCCCGATGCCTGTCGCCCCGCCTGGGGGCCCGATGCCTGTTGCCCCGCCTGGGGGCCCGATGCCTGTCGCCCCGCCTGGGGGCCCGATGCCTGTCGCCCCGCCTGGGGGCCCGCCGCCCGCCTGGGGGCCCGGCGCCCACCACTCCACCTGGGGGCCCGGTGCCTGTCGCCCCGCCCGGGGGCCCGGTGCCTGTCGCCCCGCCCGGGGGCCCGCTGCCTGCTGCTCCGCCCGGGGGCACGGTGCCCGCTGCTCTGCCCGGGGGCCCGGTGCCCGCTGCTCCGCCCGGGGGCCCGGTGCCCGCTGCTGCCGCCTGGTGGCCCGCTGCCTGCTGCTTCGCCTGGTAATCCGATGTGCCTCTGCCCGGAGTCCTGCCCGATGTGCCCTCTGCCCGGAGTCCTGCCCGATGTGCCTCTGCCCGGAGTCCTGCCCGATGTGCCTCTGCCCGGAGTCCTGCCCGATGTGCCTCTGCCCGGAGTCCAGCCCGATGTGCCTCTGCCCGGAGTTTAGCCCGATGTGCCTCTGCCCGGTGTGCCTCTGTCCGGTGTGCCTCTGCCCGGTGTGCCTCTGCCCGGTGTGCCTCTGCCCGGAGTCCAGCCCGATGTGCCTCTGCCCGGAGTCCAGCCCGATGTGCCTTTGCCCGGAGTCCAGCCCGGTGTGCCGCTGCCCGGAGTCCTGCCCGGTGTGCCAGTCTTTGATATCCCGCCAGTTACCAGACCCGGGCGGTGGAACATTTTGCCCAGCTAGGACTGTTTGGAGCGTCCTGAGGCCGCTCCTTGAGGGGGGGGTACTGTCAGGAATGGACTGGCCAGCAATGGTGGGACTCACCTGCCTTTTGATCTGCAGTACCAGGGCTGGCCAGCGGGTGCTCCCAGCAATCAGAGACTCAACCTTTCAGCCAGCTAACACCTGGAACTAATTATACTGGTGTATTTAAGGGATGGCCAGACTTGCAGACTCTGCCTTGGTGTTGTGTTTGTCCTGGGCCCTGTATCTGTCCTGCATCCTGTTTCTGTTCCTTTGCTGACCCTGCCTGATCTGAACCGCTGCTGACTTCTCCTGCTCTGATCCCGGCTCGCTCCTGACCATCCCTCTGCCTGACCCTCTGTACTACGCTGCTAGCTACCTGCTGAACCTGGCCTGTGACCCCGACCCATCTCCGCTTGCTCCCCCTGTACCTACCTGCCCTATTGATATTGACCCGGCCTGCCTGACGACGCTTGCTTGTATGTACTGTTATCTGTGGGTGGTTGGTTTGGTTTGTTTGCACTGTATTATGTTTTAGTATTGCACTGCGTTTATGTTTGTATGGTTAGTGTTAATAAATTATATTGTTTATCACATATCTGAAGTCTGCGTTTCCCTGCGTCAGTCACACACCTCTGGTCACACCTGGGAGCCCTGACAATTCCAGAGTTTATCAAGACATTTTGCAGGAAAACGTACGACCATCTGTCCGCCAACTGAAGCTCCGCAGAGGATGGGTGATGCAACAGGACAATGATCCAAAGCATACAAGTAATTCAACAGAACAATGGCTGCAACAGCACAGAATACGCCTTCTGGAGTGGCCCAGTCAGAGTCCTGACCTCAACCCGATTGAAATGCTGTGGCATGACCTTAAGAGAGCGATTCACACCAGACATCCCAAGAATATTGCTACACTGAAACAGTTTTGTGAAGAGGAGTGGTCCAAAATTACTCCAGATCGTTGTGCAGGTCTGATCTGCAACTACAGGAAATGTTTGGTTGAGGTTATTGCTGCCAAAGGAGGGTCAACCAGTTATTAAGTCCAAAGGTTCACATACTTTTTCCTCACTGCACTGTGAATGTTTACATGTTATGTGCAATTAAACCATGGCAACATCTGATGTTTGTGTAGTATTATGTTCAGCAGACTGCGTTCTATTGTTGTGACTCAGATGACGTTTAGAGCACATTTTATGCCCAATTCATGCAAAACTCCACGTAATCCCAAGGGGTTCACATACTTTTTCTTGCAACTGTACATTGATCTGCCTTTACTTTCCCAATAAAATTATTTTTTGGAATAAAAAATAAATGTTATAATAATAAGGGTTTCAATTAAGAGATGGCTGTAAAAATACTTTGAGTAAAAGGCCTGATTAAACCTTTACCAAAGTCGCAAAAAAAAATTGTATCTTTCAGTCTACAATCTAAATCTAAAAGGATAAACATAGGATGTGTACCACTGCACTGAAAAAATAATCTGTTTTCTAAGAATGCAAATACACATGGGCACTATTAAATATAAGCAGGAATCATTTTGCTGCATTCAATGAGCAACTGCGAGGCTTGGGTTCCCAGGAGTGCTGTGTTAAATTAAATATACTACTATAGTGCCAGATCTAGTTCTGGAATCATTTGCAGTATAATATTATTGTCTATTGATTTATATATTTTATAATACCCTAAAGAATCCGTCATTAAAGCATCAAAATTACAATATTGACAAAGGAAGGCATGTAAATCTTATGCTGGAGCTGCCAAGAATATTTCAGTTAATGTGAAAGGCGTGAGCAATTATTTCTTTGGTGCTTAAAAAAATTCAACTATATATGTAAAAAAAAAAAACTCTGAGCCTAAACTAGAAATTGAGAAATGTAATTAAAATTAATGATATTAAATTAACATCTCTGTACAGACTTTATGTAAGCCACTACTCAGGAGACAAAAAAAGAACAGTATTTTTTCTTTCACTTTGCCTACTTAATATTAAGTCAGCTGTGTGTTGGTAACTATTGATCCTAGCTAAGCCCACTTATTTTGAAATAGTTTGTATCCTATAAATTTTCTTAATGTTTTACATATTTATCAATAAATGCTAATAACATCGCTGCTACAAAATGCTGCATTAGAAGGGGTTATAGTATTTATATTCTAGATGACAGAGACACTAGAGATGATAATAGTAAGATATAAGACATGGCTGTGAGGCGTGAATTAAGAAAAAGAAAGGTGGAGCAACCAAGGAGAGTCACAAACTCACTTGGAACAAGTGGACTGCACATATGGGGAAGAACATCTGAAAAGAATTTGGCACCTCTCCACCGTATGGCTTTATGGAGCATTGAATTTAATATAGCCTATCACAGCTTTTAAATTATTTCCCAAATGACGGCGTTGTTACAGCATCTGAACACATGCCACATGCTCCTGCCATATGCGTAGGTGACTTGGATGAAATGTGGATAATACAACTTAGCTACCATTCAATGTTTTGAAACAATATCTTACTAGCATACTGTAGATTCAGAGAGCAAAAATATGGCATTATCCAAATACATTCCACACAGAAAAAAACTAAGAACAGTCATACATAGATGTCTGAATACTGTGCGCCACTGCTTAAAAACACCATCCAACACATTTGTCAGAAAACCTTTACTTTCTTTTCAGAATCAACATTTTCTATGGGACACTATACTGCAAAATACTCCCACAAATGCAGGCCATTGATTGTAAACAAAATTTGTTAATTTGCACACACAAAAAAAGTATTTTTCCTAACAAATTCATTCTGAATTTGAAAATCTTAGGAGCAATGCTACATTTTTGACAACAAAATTCATTCAACAATATCTCAACTACTGGTGAGTCTAATTATTCATTAAACTGGTGTCCAGCAGACAGCTGATTATAAAAGGGTGCTACTTAACAAAGAAAACCCCTTCCCATTTCATGCTGTCACCACATGGAAGAAAAATGTCACAAGGCCTGAAAAAGAAATTAATTTCTTTGCACAAGAATGGTGAAGACTACAAGAAGATCAACAAAGGTTTACTTATCAGTCGGAATACAGTAGCAAAAGTGATACAAAAATTTAACAAAGATGGAACTGCAACCATCTCACAGAGATATCCAGGCCATCCACGGAAGTTACCACCTTAACAGGAGCTCTTCTGATTAGAAGGGTTGAAGAAAATCGCCATGCAAGTTCACTTCAGTTAGCTAAAGAAGAAGAAAGCCAAACTGGGGTGAATGTTTCCTTTTACACAATACAGTGTACACTGCAGAGGAATGGCATGCATGGGTATCATCTACAAAGGAATACCCTCCTATACCCATGCACAAACAAGCCTGCCTAGAATTTTCCAGGGCCCATACTGAAAAAGAAGAAGACTACTGGGACTCTGTACTCTGGAGTGACGAGACCAAGATAAATGTTTTTGGAACTAATGGCGTCAAAACTGTATGATATTGCAAACATGAGGAGTACAAAGACAAATGCAGGGCGCCTGCAGTGAAACATGGTGGTGGAAGTCCTTCTGTGGGGCTGCATGAGTGTTGCTGGTGTCGGGGAGCTGCATT